AATAAGTAGTTACAACCTTCTTAATTCTCCTCACTAACCCCAAGACCCCACAGGCAGTGCAGATATGCCACAGTGAGCACCTGTGAGTCATAGTGTGCCACAGTGAACATTTGTGAGTCATAGTGACGCCTCCACAGAACTCATGCCTGCTTGCTCTAAACCCATTGATTAGAACTCCCTATGGGAGCCAAATGTGGTAGCCATACCTATAATTCTTTGCCTAGGGAGGTAGAGGCAGGAAGATTGCAAGTTTGAGGCCAGCCTCAGCAACTTAGCAAGACTCTGTCTCAAAAAATAAAAAGGACTGGGATGTGGCTCAGTGGTGAAGCACTCCTGGGCTCAATCTCTAACACCAAAAACAAAAAACAAAACCAAAACAACAACAACAAAAAAACAACATAGGTAACCTGCTTGAGTTATTCCTGGGCCCTAACAATCTTTGGGTCCCTCATGCTGTCTTTCTTGCTCCTCACCCACTGGTGGAGCATGTGTATTCTACCAGCCTCCCCTTGTTGGCTCTGCGAGGCTAGCTCCCCTCACTGGCCTCTTCTCTCTGGGATCTGTAATTAATACAGTGCTCCTATTATTTCATATGCACTGTTGTGCTGCCTCCTTTGTGTCTCACCTGACCAGTCCCCCTGACACAGTGTCCTCTGGGTCAAGGCTGTCTTAGAGAGGGGATGTCTTTATAGGAATAAACTGGACAAAAGACACACCAGAGCCTCAAAGATATCTGCCAGTACCTATGGACCCAAACTTATATGTCCGCTTAAGAATTTCGATTTTAAGATGGTGGGTGATATGCATTTAATCTAAACCTTACTTCGTCTTTTTAATTTTGATCTTTTCCTGGATGAGCAATATGCAGCAGTTCGCACTCTTGAGATGCTTGGCAGGGCAAGGAGCCAGCGCTCTCAATCAGCCCTGCGATCACGAGGGGAAACAATCAATACTCTGCAGTGCGCTGCGTTGCTAGGCTACGATGCTCTGCAGGCGAGGTGTAATTCAATCTGTTTTCAACATGAGATATTTTCAGCTTACAATAGGTTTATCTGGATGTAACCCCATCATAATTTGAGGAACATCTTTACAAAGAAGCTTCCTCTGTGAAGGACACCTGGTCACAGTTTGGACATTCAGACATTAGGTCAATCTAAAGAAATATTGTGTGAAGCACTGTAACACCCATGACCACCTTCCTGGATCCCTGGTAGGGGCAAAGCTAGGTCTTATTCTCTCACTTTCAGAACCAAATTAGAGGGAGATAAAATGGCTTAGCCATCAGGGTATGTGGTTATGGCCATGAGGGGCACAACAAAATACCCTGACCTCCTGTGTGGCTCTCCCAGGAGTCCTAACTGTGCTGGGAAGCAGCTCTGAGTGCTGAAGTTCTGTCAATCAAACACTTGCCCTGCACCTCCACCCTGTTGCCTGCTGCGCCCACCCTAAAGAGTTACTGTTGCCAGTTTCAGCGCCAAGTCCTCCCAAAGAGAGCAAAGTGACCCACACCTCTGGCCTAACAAGGAGAATGTACCACCCAGGCATGATTGACAAGACAGGACTTTTAAAAACAGAGTGTCCTCTTCCACCTTTCGCCAGAAGGAGGACCCTTGAGCCTGGATCAGCTTGCAAGGTTATTACCTCCACCCAAAGGGAGGTTGAGGACTGAAAGTGTGCAGGAAATTAATTCCCATATCAAGGGAACCACTGAGCCAGGAAGTCATAGCAGGAGTATGTGTTCTAACCTAGATAAGAATGATCTCAAAACAGCAAACCAGTGGCACCAGCAAAGGGGAGATAAGGCTGAAGCCCGCAGTCTCCATTTGGGGCCTTTGCTTTGCTTCTATAGTTCTTTGTCCCTCTAAATTCAGTGAGTACACTCTAGAGAGGGCAGCAGCTGACTACAAATGGGGCCAGTGGCAGCTGAAAATGGAGGTTTCTGCTCACATAGGAGCTGCTTGGTATTACCGCGAGCATGACAGGCAATCATCCAGTGAGACAGGGAAAATGTATTTTAGCTGCCTAGACCATTCTAAAGATTTTACTCAAAAGGAAATAAAAGGGTGGAAGAAGAAGCCATTGCCTAGGGACGCCAGTTCCACTGTTGCTCCCCACTCCCCATTTCCTCCTTCTGACCAGAAACAGAATATAAGAACCATAGCCTCAAGTGGCTAAAAGCCTAAAACAAGACAGGAAGAAAAAAGGAAAAAAAAAAAAAAAAAGAGGGGTGTGGGGAGGACAATGTTGGTCAGGTAACCTCAAAACCAAATTTGAAGAAATTTATATTTATAAAATAAAAGTATATAAAATGGCAGTTCAGAGCCACAATCCTGCGATTAATGTGTCGTGAACATTTTAAATTACTTGCATCCCCACATTGTTTTTAATAGAATTGTTTCCTAAAGAAAACCTCTGCTTGCTCTTGGCTTGCCTGTCACAGCTGTGTGTGCTCCGTTACATCTTTGGTCATGCGAATCCTGTTTCCCTAATACACATTAGCACGCTGTGGACAACTGAAAATTTGAACCTGTATGATATTAAATTCTGAATTAATAGCTGATCAACATTTGAAGATATTGATAATCAATATCCCAATCTTAAGGAAAATATGCCTCCAACTTTTAGGCAAGGAAAATAACAGGGAACTATTTAGAAAAGAATCACGACTGCATGACTGCTTAATATTCAGTGTGGTATGTTAAAAATTGTGGACAAATTGAAATTCATGTGTACTGATCCCCAGCACAACCGTAACACCCCAACTATACAAGAAAACAAGAACAAGAAGAAGGTGAGAACATGAAGAAGCTGTTGCCCAAGAGGACTCCAGGTGGGCATGTAAAACCAGGCAGCCGCTGTGAAAAACAACGTGGAGGGCCCTCAACACAAAGAACCAGCGAGATCAGGACAAATACCTCCCGCTCCTATTCCTGAAAGATGGAAAGTAGACAGAATCAGAGATGCAGAAAAAAGGGCTAGGGTTGTGGCTTAGAGGCAGATCACTCCTCAGCACCACATAAACTAAGTAAATAAAGGCATTGTGTCCATCTATAACTAAAGAAATATTTTTTAAAGAAAGTGGAGGGAGGGCAGGAGAATCCGGGTTGACTAGTTATAAAGGTCAAATTTGTAAGATGGAAACGTTCTGGGGACTGATTGCACAGCAATGTAAATTTGCTTAATTCTACTGAACTGTGCATTTAAAAACGGTTAATATGGTTGCCAGGTGCAGTGGCACACGCCTGCAATCCCAGCAACTCAGGAGGCTGAGGCAAGAGGATCACAAGTTTGAGGCAAGCAGGAGCAATTTAGTGAGATCCTGTCAACTAAAAAGAAATAAACAGGGCTGGGAATGTAGCTCAGTGGTAAAATGACCCTAGATACTTAAAAAAAAAAAAAAAAAAAAAAAAAAAAAGGTTAATATGGTAACTATAAAGTGGTTTTTTTTTTTTTTCCTTTTCTTTCTTTTAAATTTTTTTTTGTTTGTTTTTGGTGGTGCTGGGGATTGAACTCAGGGCCTATCACATGCTACACTGAACCACAACCCCAGCACTAAGGGTTATTTACTACAATTTTTAAAAACATGAAAAAAAATTAGGGACCAAGAACATTCCTAGATTTATACTGCTTGCTTACTTTGCTTTGCCCATTCATTCCCTAGAAAACCACAGTCAAATCTCCCACCCACTGTGTTTCCTTCTGCTGCTGGCTCACTACCGCACTTCCCTGAGTGGCCTGTGTGGTGCCATGCCTCCTGTGTCTTGGGGACCCTGCATATAATGAAACACTTTCTTCTTCCTGGCAATTGTTTTTGCGTATGTGTCCTACCATACCTGGTCAGATCAATCCCAGGGGATGTGATCAGAACAGCTCTGAGCAGCGAGCACAGAGATGATGATCCTCCAGTGGCGCTGGGCTTAGTAAGCCTCCACTGATACTGGCCACTACCTGAGAGGGCACTCCTGGTGTGCTGCTCTTGTTGCTTGTGTTTTTTTTTTTTTTTTTTGTCGGGTACTGCCCTGCTTTCCCAGCCTTCAACTGGGGAGCTGGAAGAGCTGAGCCCTCCGTTAGCTACAGAGTGGCAGGCTCCATATGGGACATGGCACAGTCCCAGCTGCATAGAGTGCTGTGTATGGGACCAGGCACAAGTCCCATTTGTGTAGAGCCCTCCTGCAGTGTGACGCTCCATCACACGGTGCACATGGTGTCACAAAGTGTTTTAACACAAGAGTAATGGGGTACACAGTACCCACCCAGAGTTACAAGATGAGAAGACAGGGGCATAGAGTAGGAGGAGACAGGGACATAAGGTTCCCCAAAGAGTTCCAAGACAGAAGAGTGGTGAGTAAAACCTAGGTATCAATTCTAAAGGGTAATTGATAACGAAATGTCAAAAATTGCAGGAAGAACAAAGAAATGGGAGAGTAAATCAACCAGAAGCTGTTAATCTTTCAAAAGGGGTAGGCGGCGGGTGGGTGTGGAAAGCACACAAAGTCAGTGTAAAAAGTTTTTTCTACCATGTAACCTAAAAAAGGTAATGCAAGTTTCCATCTCTGAGTTCCGTTTCTCCTAGTTGTTCTATAGTGAGCTTTCCACAACTGATGTTTGACTAAGGATTACAACTACTTAAAACCCAAGTTTATGAGTTGTGAGTTGTTATTATCTCAGTAAGAGCTGAGAAAATTACTGAACATTCTTTGTACTGCCACCCCCACCCCAGCAATCATCTTCTTTTTTTTTTTTCTTTTTTCTGTCTTTTAATGTTTTAGGATTCATCAGCACTGTAGTCAGTCCTGTATGATCCGTCCTCAACACTTTTTGGCAAGACCAAAAATACAAATTTGCAGACAGAGCATTTTGTAAACTATCAGGAGTCCTTTCCTTTTTTGTCATTTGATAGTGAGTCAGAATGCTGTTTTGTAAATAAATCATTTGCAGGAATCCTCATCAGGTCAGCTACATTTGTGTCAGTTTGGGAAAACAAACATGAAAGCACTTACCAGTTAATGTTGTGAGGAAAGAAGCTTTTGTGATGCCTGGGTGTAACCTCCGGGCTCCAGAATGAAATGGAGGGTGGTTTTCTGAACCGCTAAGTCGTACACTCTTTTTCCAGCCTCCTCATGCCGCTTTTATCTGGCTTTTCAAATGACACTGTAGAAAAGAATGATGTTGGGTTTTGAATGTGGTTCTTCCCTTCCTCCACCGCCCTTCATAAAAAATTCATCATGTATTCCAGGAAAAAAAGTAAGCAGTGGACATACTGTACAAATTAATTATTTTGCTTAGCATGTTTGTGTAACAGGTTTGTTTCATGATTGGAAACCATCGCTATTAGCTGCCCTGCTGCAGGCTGGAAAAGCAGGGATTTGAAGCCTCCCCCCTCCCCCTTCCCTCCTTTGTCTGAGTAGGCTTTTGCTTATGAAAAGTCAAGTTACATTAGCAGCAATGGAATGAAAAGAAGCCTTAAATTGTCAAAGAGGAGTTGTTCAGTGCGCTGGGTTTTAGGTGCTCCGACAGTGAAGAAATGAAATCACATATTAGTTAATTGGACATTTTAATTTTTGATTTCTTTTACACAGATACATTGAGAGAGAACTTTACTAACACTGAGGAAATTAAAGTTTGATTTTTATCCCTTGTCACCCACGTTCTGTGGCCCTGGCAAATGCTGACACATCCATGTACCTGAGGCAAGACTCAGAATTCTGAAAGTTGAGGGATGAGAAGTCTGGGTACTTAGCGAGCCTGCAGAACTATCTTGATTTTTGTAAGGTTAATATCAACTTCACGATGTGATATTTGAAACTGAACATTGTTAGGCCGTAAAAAGGTCAGCTGCCAGAGAAGCACAAGATTTTGTTTTTGCCTAAAAATTCTACAGCAGTAATTCTCATGGTGGGGGTTGGGAGATGGGGGTGAATGCACTTTTTCAAACTAAAAGTATCCCATTGCCCTGCAGGATGTATGCGCTCTCACTCTTGCCCCTGGGGAGTTCCTTGATTCAACAGAGATAAACACTATTAATAGTCTCTGAGGATCGATGTGGTCAGTGAAGGGGGTAGTTAGGTCTGTCTGCTGGTTCCACTCCTTTGCATCAGCATTATTAATATTTATTAATAGTTCTATGTTTTGTAACTACACAAAAGCACAATTTCATCCACAAAAGGCAATTTTAAAGAGGATTTCAAAATGTTTGGTTATTTAACATGGTTTGCGGGGTTTTTTTCTTTTTTTTTCTCCTTTTTGGTGATAGTGCAGGAAGCACCAAGTAACAAAGAACAGAGAAAGCATAAAAGAAATGACATGTATTGTGAAGCATAGTTTAAGCATAGTACATGTGGAAACTCAAGAATTTGCATGCATTCTTATTTTGATGTGTAGCCACTACCCAAAACAACAGAGTTGAAAGGTGCTTATTTAGTTTTGAAATTAGCCCACAAATTAGGCACTGTGATGCACACAACCTGTAATCCCAAGAGCTCAGGAGCCTGAGGTAGGAGGATTGCAGGCTCCAGGTCAGCCTCAGCAATTTAAAAAGAAACCCTGTCTCAAAATAAAAAAATAAAAAGGACTGGGATGTGGCTAGTAATCCCTGGGTTAAATTGCTGGTACTGGGGATGGGGGAGAAAGAAAAGAAATTAGCCTGTGAAAAAATAAATAAATGGAACAGCACATAAAAATCTCTTTGCTGGTGTGCACTCCAGTTTGCTGTAAGTTTGAAGAGCTCTCCTGAACAGTCAGTCATTAAGCATGATTTGCAGTTGATCAGTTGTGCAAAAGTAGCTGAGGCCTCAGGTGTACTAGAGATAACCTATCTACCACCCCAAATATTAAGGATGCAATAATCATGAGCCAAGTTGTTTGGGACATTGGTTATCTGGTAACTCAAGTTAAATGGAACTCTGTTAAGAGAACCTCTACCCTAAGTGGTAGAGTTGGAGTTTAATGTCAGGCTTTCTGACTCCAGAAACTGTTCTCTTAAGAGGCTTACCCATTGAGTTCTCCATCCCCTTGCTGGAAGAGATGTTTACAAAACTGAACGAATAGAAGGAAGGGATAGCAGTAACTTCTACAGGATAAAGGATTTTATGATAGCTTCACCTCTTTTTAAATCATTTGAGTTCTGAAGCCTGTTATGGTTAGTATTGCAAGTTATTTGAAAGCATGTTTGCATGTGCAGGACCAACTGTGCTCAGGGAAATTCTATCATAATATTTTGGGGAACAGGATCTCCCATTCCATAAAGATAGTTTTTCTCCACTGATGTTTGAAATCTCACTATTAGAGAATTGTTTTTTAGAATACACTGCAAAATTTGTATTATACACTGCAAGATTTGTATTAACCTGTGAAGCTTTAAAAGTTAGAACAAGATGGACTATTTTTAAATGGATTATCCCCTCCCCGCCCCCCCTCAACCCCACCAGGAAAAAACAGGGTCTGCAACTTGGCTTTTGATATGACAAAGGAGATCACTGTTCTTTCTCACATTTGATGTTAAAATAGCATACTTGCCCCAAACACTCTGATCGGACTTTCAGAAATAGACATTTGGGAGAATACACTTGGTCATGTTAGTTTTTGTTAATGGTCATGTCTAATCTTGCTATTGTTGTTTGAAAAAAAAAAAAATCAGACCAGAACATAAGCACTGGAAAAGAGATATACAAAGGGACATTTTCTCTCAAAGAAGTTGATTTGTGAAGAATGGAAAGTCACTTTCAAATTCTTCCCTCTTGTCATAAGGGGAGATAACTATCTTATTGTATAAGAGCCCTTCTTGGGCTTGATTCTTCAAGGTGGGCAGGGCGAGAGATTAGCTTTGGGGGCCTTTATTTGGTTGCACAGTGAGGCTGGAACCTTGTAAAGCTTTTCCCAGGGATGGAAATGGATTCACAGTTGCAGACTCAGTGGCCCTGGGGGTTCACAGCGAGAAGCCATGGCAACCCTGCCATAAAGGGGCGTTTCACTTAAAGCAGAAAATTCTTAAAGGCCGCTGAGGACAAAGCCTTATCCGAATTCCTGCTTTTAATTCTGTATTACCCCCTGCAGCAATTGAGCCTTGAGGATATTGGGGCGGGGGTAGGGTGGGGTGTCTGTTAGAAGACAGCCTCTACATCTTTTTCACCAAGATACACGAAGCTCTGATTCCCTGCGGAAATGTGGAGAACAGCTTCTATTTTTCTCTCTAATTTGAATAAACCTTCACTTTTAATATGCCAAATGCCAATTCGAATGAGATTCAGATAAAAGGATTTAGTTTGGCTTTCTTACCTACAGTCTACTGACTCACATGCCTGGGGGTGGTAGAGTAGGAGGGTGAAGCTTTGGGGGGCAAAAAACACTCACCTCTCCAAACGTGCCTGTTCCTGCTTCGGGGGCAGGGCAGCTTGCAGCCTAGTCCTGGGGCTCTGGGCTCCGAATCCTTGAGGTTTAATGATTTCTCTGAGAGAACTGGTCGCAGCTGCCCTGAGTGGAGGAAGAAGTATTTCCTCCCTTTCTAACCAAGGGAGGTAAATACTCTTTTAACTTATTGCCCTGGAAAAGGAAATGTGGTTTGCCAGTGGTTAAATAAATCTGTTGTATATCAGTTAGTCAGCAGGCATCTTGGTGACACCATCCTTGGCCCTGAATCAAGAGTAAGGACTGCTCTGGGAGTTCAGGCCATTCCCAGCTACCTACCCTAATTATGCTACTTTTCTTGTTAAACTGCACATAATTTTGTATCCGATATAAATTTATCTGAATTTTTCTGAGACATCACATTTTAGGAAAGGAAAAAGATCTGAGAAGAAAGCTTATTTTTCTCAACCTCTTTAAACTGGTTCAGCTGCTAGTTTTGCATTTTTTATTAGGGAATTAGTAGCCTGGGGACGAACTGCAGCTGTAGATGTATTTTGTTTGTTCTGCAGTGTTTTCTAGAATTTGAATTAACTTCCAACCTTCCAACATTTAAAAATCAAGCATTCCCCGCCCCCCCCTTCTTTCTGTGTTTCAGGGAATTGAACCTAGAGCCTCCCACATGCTAGGCAAGTGCTGTATAACTGAGCCACATCTATTCCCCAAATCCACTCTTAAATTGCCATCTAGATTATCAACTCCTCAACAAATTTAGCAGGTCTGGGTACACTGGGCTCCTGTCCTGGCAAGGATATGGTTGGAAGTAGCAGAACAGTGGCCCTTCCCCATGTCACCTGCCCACTTTGGGCTGGGCATTGTTTACCAGCACCATGTCTTTCCCCCTGCCGTGCTCACTCATGGACCATCATCTGGATCCTCTAACAGTTTACATTTCCCACACTTGTGTCCTTTTCTAATTCTTTTCCAGTGAATTTGTTCCATTTAAGAAATTCAAGTACACAGATAAGTCATTAGGTGTTCATTTTTATTACTTAAAAAATTTTAGGTTTTAGCTTTGTTCATTTAAGAAAATGATTCCTGTCGGATGCGGTAGCACAGGCCTATAATCCCAGAGGTTTGGGAGACTGAGACAGGAGGATCACAAATTCAAAGCCAGCCTCAGCAACTGCAAGGTGTTAAGCATCTCAGTGAGACCCTGTCTCTAAATAAAATAAAAAATAGGGCTGGGGATATGGCTCAATGGCTGAGTATCCCTGAGTTCAATTAAAAAAAAAAAAAAAAAGAAAAGAAAGAAAGAAAAGAAAAGAAAAAGAAAAATGATTTCTTAATGTTTTCCTAACAAAACGTAAATGCATTATAAAATATGACAAAATTAACAAAACCAACTTTAAGAAGTTAAACTATGGAACAGTGGTATACCAAAGGAAGTAAGTAGTACATCCAGGTGGAGATATGGAGATAAAAGGATAAAAGGATGTCCACTTGATGGAGGGAATTTCTTCCTCCCTCCCTCCCTTCCTTCCTCCCTTCCTTCCTTTCTTCCTTCCTTCCTTCCTTCCCACTGAGCCACATCCCCAGCCCATTTATTTTGAGACAGGGTCTCACTAGATTGCCCAGACTGGCCTTGAATTTGCAATCTGCCTGCCTCCTGAGAGGTTGGGATTAGAGGCATGTGCCACCACACCCAGCTTGTAGGGGATTTAAAAGCAATAATAAAAACAGCT